TAACTCGGAGACAGCTGCATTTGGCGCATCGATTTTCTCACGCCCTGAGAATGAACTTTTTTCTGTTGTATCTGGCCACATACAGCGTGCACATTTGACAGGCAAAAAATCAGTTGCCATCATCAATGTGCAGCTGAAGAAAGTCCTTGAGAACACTGCATGTGGCCAGCTACTGAGGCCAGAGTCAGAGAGTTCATTCTCGGTTGCTTTTGATTAAGAATAGGCGATCTAGAAGTGGCCAACAGTAGAGACTTGGAAGAATTCCGCTCAGATTTGGGAAGTCAGTTACCGAACAGGTGCTCGCTCTCAGGTCAGGCTTGGGCATTTGAAAAAAAAAAAAAGAAGGATCCAGAGGTAAGTGGCAGCAGACCCTCCTGGCAGAGGAAGGATCCAGAGGTGGTCGCTCTCAGGTCAGGGCGTGAGAGATTGCAAAGGCATCACTCATTCGTAAGGTCCACAAAGCATCGTTAAACACACGATAGAAAGAAAGGAGGAGAGAGGGAGAGAGGGAGAAAGGAGGAGAGAGGCATCACTCAGGGCGTGGGCATTTGAAAAAAGAAAGGAAAAGAAAAGGTAAGTGGCAGCAGACCCTCCTGGCAGAGGAAGGATAAGGATCCAGAGGTGCTCGCTCTCAGGTCAGGGCTTGGGCATTGGGAAAAAAAAGGGAAAAGAAAAGGAAAGGGAAGTGGCAGCAGACCCTCCTGGCAGAGGAAGGATCCAGAGGTCCCTCCCCTTCTCCATGGCCTATTGGTAATCTTGAGCCTCCGTATGTCTCTTCAGACATTTCAAGTTACTGCTTTGGAATTTCTCGTTCAGTGGAGGCCAGTCTTCGCTCTTTAGCTTGCGTAAAATATCTCGTTCTTTGTCAAACGACTTCGTTACTCGGCCAAAAAACTTCTTTCCTTCGTTAAAAAGTTTTTTTGTGACTTCGTTAAAAATGTTTTTTTGACACCATTGAAAGGCGTTGGTCGCGTCTTCGCTAGTTGGGTAAAAAACTCCGTTGAAAAAAGCGGCGCCCGCAGCCCTCATGAAGTTCCATAGCAGTCGTTTTTTTCTTACCTGCTGAAAATGGGCGACAGCGTCTTCTTTATCGTTCCTGGCCTACCTGCTGGCTTCGATAGTAAATTCCATGAGCAAGTTGGCATAATCTGCGAGAGCAATCGCCTCTTGTACTGTCTTCAAGCTCTTGTCCATCGTCGGGCAGAGCCACAATCTGTATGAAGGGGTGAAGAAGTTTATCTTTCGTGTTTGTGTTTGTCAACAGCAATTTTGCCATTGCTTGTCACTGTTCTTGTTGAAAACGTCATCTTTTTTTTTTTTTTTTTTTTTTTTTTTT